AAGGGTCTAGGCCCGAAACGTCAGCCTTCCTGCTCCTCTGATGCTGCTTGGCCTGCTGTGTTCATCCAGCTCTACACCTTGTTATCTCAGATTCTCCAGCATCTGCAGTTCCTACTATCTCGGTTCCACAAAATAGTTGTTAGATTTTACATTCGCGTCAGTCACCATCATAGGAGCGAAAAATGGTTCAGGTTTCAGATGGTTTCCATTGAGTGGGAGATGGGCTCTCATTGAAAACCACTTCCCTGAGGTGAAGCTGTTTCAAAATCAACCGCAAATGAACATTTAAATTCCACTTACAGCACATATTAATGCACTAATCGTATTACTGAAGGGAACAAAGATCCCAGGGGTCAGATTTAAATTGCACCCAATCCTCAGGTCTGCTTCTCTTTTTTGCCAATTTAAATGCCCTCTTCTTGGATTTAATACTATCCCTAATCTCCCCTGTTGGCCATAGCTGGGCCACCTTTCCCAATTTATTTTTGTACCCAGACAGGAATAAATAATTGCTGCAGTTTCTCCATGCACTCTTTAAATGTGTCACTGCCTATCCACCGTCATTCCTTTAAGGAACACTTAAAAGTATCATAGTCTGCTCATATCTTGCACATTTACAGTTTTCTCTATTTAGATTCACGACCCTAGCCTCAGATTCAACTATGTCACTTTTCATCGTGATGCGGAATTCTGTCATAGTAACTCTGTCCCAAGGGGCTTCATACAGCCAGATTGTCCCTTTCTCATTACACAGTCTAGGATCTCTTGTCCTCCATTTGGTTCACCAGTATCTGAACTAAGAAGAACTCAACTGCTGCAACATTGTTCCTCAATCGATATGCAGACATAACTGAATTTTGGTCTGGAGAGATGGTCTCAAATCGGTTAAATGATAAGCTTCAAAGCTTTCACAAAACCAATTACCTGCAACAAAATCATGCCAATTGAAACACAAGATGAAATTTGATTATAAAAATATTGAAAAATACTACTATATACTGCAAATAGATAATTTGAGAAAAAGCTTCAAAGCTATATTCACTGGAGTAGACAGAGCAAATGCAGGGAGGATGTAACTGGTGATTGACCAGAACTAGGGATCATGGTGCAGAGAATGTGGTGAGAAGAAATGAGATGAGGGGAAATGTTTTCATCCAGCGAGTGGTGAGCCTGTGGAATCCCCAACCACAGAAAGCAGTTCAGGCCAAAACACATATGTTTTCAAGAGGAGTTGGATATTGTTCTTAGGGATTAAGGGATCAAAAGATATGGGGTGAAAGGAGGAATAAGCTATGAAGTGGGATGATCAGCCATGATCATATCGAATGGTGGAGCAGACTTGAAGGGCCAAATGACATATTACTGCTCTTATTTTATGTTTGGTAATTTCAACGTAATTCAAATGGGAAACAGCTAATCTACAGTAAAAACAGGTTCACAGATACCACAAAATAACAGAAAAAAAAATGTACCTGTGAATAAAACATTTACATACAAAACATCTGGAATGAGCACTGGATTATTCAACACCACTATATCCATGCCCAGTTTCTTATGTTACTGGAGATAACATAACCATTGCTGCATCAGGCAAAATATCCTGCTTGTCTGTAGTTTAGGGTGTTCTTTCAAGCTTCTTCTGATTAGACATTATGGACCAATTGCTAGAATACACTCAACCAGTTAACTCAAAACAATTGCCAGATGCAAGGAACAGGCTGGCTCTTTAGCGTCTAATGCGAAAGAAATGCCCAGGAAAGTTAAAAACAAACAGTATACCTTGAACATAGCCAGAAGAGTCTCTTTTTTTATTTCAAGTCTCTCAAATGGTTGTTTATCCTTCATAATACGTTTACATAGATTTTCTAGAGCTGGAAAATCATTGCTGGAGACACCTCTGTTATAAAACAAATCTTTTTCAACAACGTGTTTATAATTAACAGATAAACATAACATTAAAAGCAATTAAAGAACGAAATTAACTGAAATGTACCCTTCTTCCAAGAACATGTCATAATAAAATCCATTTTCAATTGGTGGGCCATAGCAGAGACACCCTCCAAAGACTCGTTCCATCGCCTCTCCCAGTATATGGGCACTAGAATGCCAGTACACCTAGCACACAATAATCCTTCATTAGGAATAAAACCTTTGGACAACATTAATCTTTCTAGATCTAACTGACATCCCTCAGTTTAGATGCTGTTCTGCTCATTAATTAGATTGCAGAATTGTTCATGAGATACATAGCTTCCTCTGTTCACACATTCCAGTTGCCTTGTCAAGGGCATCACTGCATTTTGGTTCTTGGATTTACAGCAAATTCCCGTGCAAAATCAGATTTGGCAGGGTGGGGGTTTACATGATGAACTACAGATCTAAAAGAACAATTAATGTTGTTACCAACTTCACCTGACGAAGCAGCAGCACCCCAAAAGTTTGTGATTTTAAACAAACCTGTTGGACTATAACCTGGCGTTGTGTGACTTCTGACTTTGTCCACCCCAGTCCAACACCAGCAGCTTCACTTTGTTGTTACCAATGACAGCAAAATCTAGTGGATCAATTTATGGACCGTTTGAATCAGGGCTACAATTGACTAAGTTCATATTGACTAAAACGTTTTGTAGAAGGATTCAAAATAATGCACAAATCCCTCAGAACATTAAGGTTAAATCAGGTAGGATTGACTTGAGCCTTTCTTGGCTTTATTCAAGTTTGGACTGCTACTTCATATTAGGCCAGGAATCAGGATTTTAACTTTTCTTGGCAGCATATTATAACTAATCATTTGAAATTTAATTATTTACCAAGGATAACTGATGCTTTTTTTGATGTTTCACCACAGTAATAAACACAGACTACTTACAGCCTGAGCCTCCTCATCTTCAAACTTAAGCAATGCGAGACTGCAGTCTTCTTCCAATGGTCGATCCAGATCCCAAACCACTCCATTTACTTTAGCAATAACCACGTTATCAGCCAAACCCTGACTGTTTCAAACACACACAAATCAAATAAAATGGAGATATCCAAAAGGAAGTAATCTTGTTAAATGAAAAAACTATACTTGCACCAGCACCATGTTGTCTCGATTGAAACATGCTCACAATGAGTTATCTTTGGAAATATTCAAATAATCTACGTCAGAAACATTTCCACAATCAAAAATGAGCCATGTAACCAGCTGAGAGGCAGGAACAGGACACGCAAGGAAGATGACGACATCATCAGGGGTGCGTGAGGGGGACAGCTGGCCACAGCAGTTCTGACAGGGTGGAAAACTAATATCAAGGTTGGGAATGGGGAATCTTGGGCAAAACCTAACGTGTACATTGCATGGTAATTGGAGAATATCCAGTTGCAGGTTAAGTAGCAATGACTGATGCATTAGAACAAGGTTAAAAGAGAACTGAAAATCAAAACATTTTAAGAAACATTTCAAGAAGCCTCCAATGTTTGAAGTAATAGACAAATTTGAATTTCAGTTAATAAACTTGCACACCAAATCAGCTAAAAGAAATCTGCATGTAGGTTCAGCCTCAATAAATCAGAATTTGCAGCACAAGACACTGTTCAGATGACATAAATATTAAGATGCTCTCTCACAGCTGTTTTGTATTCTCTTTAAATAAGTATCCAATTTCTTTTTAAAAGTGGTGTGTCTTTGTATCAATAGTGCATTCTACCGATATTAGAACTTCAATCCTCTACATCCTTGCTATATCAGAGGAAAAAGTCACAATTTCGCACGTCATTTTGACATGTCCATACATAAAACTCTGTCCTTTCCACCATTCTACCCTCCTTTTTCAAAATATGAGATCTTTACTAGTTATGTTGCAAAAACAGCAATTTAGAACAGGTACCTAATTCCACATGCAATCTGATAAGGGGTACTTTTCCAGGAGTCCCCCTGTACTTGTTTACCATCTGGTAGAGTAACAATGATTGGTTTACTCTCTTTCATAGCACGTTCTGCCAAAATAGAATCACTTTCAGCTTTGAGTTTGTGGTACAGTTCAAGGCGTTCATTAATATATGCTGGCCATGGATCCAACTAAAAAAAAGGGTGGAAGGACAAAGAAAATCACATTATTACGCCAGTTGCATTCCATTAGCACTTCAATCAGAAACAAGCTTGTACATTCTTCTTTATAGTACATTCATTGGTTGAGATATGACGAGCATTGTTAAAGAAACGAGAGCAGACAAAATAAAAATCTGCTTTGTATTAACCTCAAGGCTATGGGCTTGTAGATTTTGGGCCAATTTGGCAGTATACAAACAACCAGATGAAGGTTAAACAGTACATAGATCGCACTTATTTCTGAACATCACACAAATTCTCATACACTTAAAAAGTTTCACAGTAGGTACATTCCATGTTTTCATTAACCTAAAAACCAGCCTGATTCATGGCAAGTACATTTTCATGCTTTCATTAACCTAAAAACCAGCCTGGTCAGCCTCTGAACAATGACACGACTTATTTAAAGCAGAGAACTTGCTGATAAAGCCTCATCCATGCTGATGATAAAGTAATTTAGTCAGATACATATAAAAATGAACAAATTGGACAGGAGGGAGAGATCTAGAATGCTTAACAACTTATACTGTGCTCCACTGCAGCAAAGCAGCTTCTTTGATACTTAGTTAATGAATGAATGCTTAGTTAACCCTCAAGAACTCAAAATGTTTGACATGTATACCTAAAACCCTCATTTCTGGGACAGTAAGTAGACAATTGCAGCCCGTTTAGCTAGTTCCATCATTGTGTCACCTTCTTTAAAAAGGCTCATACCAGGTACCACAAATATGTAACCTTTACAGCTTAAAGAAAATACATCAGCTCCATTTGCTTAATCCCATTCCAAGATTGGGTGTGGACTCATAAAATTAAGTAGGGTGAGCACTGCACAGCATTGCATATTTTAAGCAATTTGTTAAATAGAGGCCCACCCATCAGTTTAAGAAGATGCAAAAGATTCTACGGCTTACAGGTCTCTGGGTCTGTACTTGGAGTTTTGAAGGAGGTGATTGAAACTTAGATAATACTAAGAGGCCTGGATAGAGTGCACTTGAGAAGATGTTTTCACACACAGGAGAGGCTAGGACCCAAGGGCACAGCTTCAGTGTGAAGGATGGCCCTTTAGGACTGAGATGAGGGGAATTTCTTCAGCCAGGGGGTGGAACTCTTTATCACAGAGTGCTGTGGAGGCCAAGTCATTGATTGTATTTATGAGAGATAGATAGGTTCTTGATTGGTAAGGGAATCAAAGGTTAGAGGGAGAAGGCAGGAGAACGGGGTTGAGACTCAATGGGCCAAATGGCCTGATTCTACACCTATATCTTATAGTCATACAGCATGAAAATGTAATTCCTTTTTTTAAACACGAAGATGCTGCAAAGGTAGCATAGAAGTCAATTTTGACAAAGGAATTAAGTTCAGAATAAACAGGAACAGTCAAATATACCATTAATTTATTGTTCGCAGCAATTGTCTTATTTCATAATTCATGGATACTCAGCACCAACAAGTGCATTAATAGCTACTGTAAATAATGAACAATGATGCTCATTCTTATTAATCTATTTCTTCTCCTATTTAACCTCACGCCCTTATTTGAGTTAGTGGGTAAAATGTAACACATTTAAAAATTAACATTTAGGCCACTTTCAGCCATTCAGCATGGAATCTAGATTAACAACCAGTGAGCATATTGCACTGCTGTGGAGTGTTATGTCTTCAGCTAAGTTATGAAACTGCGATCTATGTGCTTGCTCAGTAGATCAGGCATAAATAACACATCTTGTTATATCTGAACTGCAGGAAACTGGCTCTGGTCTGGTCCCTTGATTCAAAAGAATAAACTGGCTGTTCATCTTATGTCTGTTTAATGAATGCTGCACTGGAAAAAAAACCTACAAATTGTAATTTATATTGCAGATTTGCAGAATAAAATATTCCTAGGCACTTCACAGAGGCATTAAAAATAACACCAATTCACTCAAGCAAATCTTAAGAGAAATGTGCAAAGGCTTAGGCAAACAGGTAGTTTTTAAGGAGAATCTTAAAAGGAAGGAAAGAATCCATGTGGTGTATCACTCATACATCTTGCAATCCTGAAAAAGAGCCACTTAGACTTACTCTCTGCTGTTAGCCAGCCAATCTACCCATGCCAATATGCTAACACCTATACCATTAGTTTTTATTTTCCACAGTAATCTTTGATAAAATGTGTCATGACTTCATAAAATGTGTCTTTTGGAAATATATCTTTAGTCTGCATCATGTGTTACCTCCAAGTAATTTGATCAAAATGATTTCAATTTTACAAAACCATGTTGACTGTACCTGATTACCTTGAACATATCCAAATGCCTAATTATAATTTCTTTTATAATAGCTTCTGACATTTTCGTTATGACAGATGCTAAGCCAAATGGCCCGTAGTTTCCTGCTTACTATCTCCCTCCATTTTTTGAATAAAGGAGTTACATTCACCGTAATCCAAGGTAATGGAACCAATCCTGAATCAAGGGAATTTTGGAAAATTTAAATCACTGCATCAACAATTTCACTAGCCACTTCTTAAGACCCTAGGATGAGGTCTATCAGGTCCCAGACACTTGTCAGCCCACAGCTCTGACAACTTCTCAGTGCTACTTCTATGGTGATAATAATTTTCTTGAGTTCCTCCCCCTCTTCCATTTCCTGATTTAGTCGCTGCTTCTGGGCTGTTACTTATATCCTCTAGAATCAGATAATCTGCTTGACTGATGTTGACTGAGTGATAAATATTTGTCAAGAAACCAAGGATTTTTACATCCACCCGAGAGCAGACAGGGTTTCAGCTTAGCATTTCACTTGAAAGAAGCAACTCCAATATTCCCTCTGGCACTCTCTCAACGTTGCATCAACATAGAAAATAATTGGTATAATCACATTCATACAATCATTCCATTTCAAGTAACCAGTCTTAGTTGAAGTCCTTCAAGATATTTCTTTGATACAGTACAGCAATGTGCTATATGAATGCAAAGATTTCTTTAAAATTATTCTGCAGCGAGTTCTTTCACATATGAAAGAAATTGAGGCAATAAAAGAATCAGTGTAGAATGTGATGCAGAGTGTATACACACCCAACTCAATGTAAACAAAAGAACTGAATATCAAAGAATTGATATTAATTGCTCTTAATCTGAACCTGAAGACAATCAGCCATTAATTAATTATATTTCCATTTTACCAAGGTTATTTTCCCATAATAAATGGTTACAAAGAAAGCTCTCACCTCCGCTCTCATCGTATCACCACCTTCCTTGATGTTTTTCTTCTTGCCTCCTTTCTGTTTCTCAGATGTAACTTTAGGCTGAAGGCACAAAATAAAAATATTTTAAGATTACACTGTGATACTACTTACAGGTTCTGTGTTACTGTTAGTTACTCAACGTATAAAAGAGTTTAGCATTTATTACTACCAGTTACATAGATTTTGACAATTGACAAGTCTGTAAATCATTTCAAAATAACTATTCAGACGCAGATCCTCACTCATCTCAGATTTCCTCTCTGCCTCATGATTGGTCACCTGGTTGCCAGATTGTTTTGTGCAACAGTTACTAATGCAATACCACGAAGGTACCCAACTACAAGGAACCAAATTTTTACAAGGTAAATACAACGTTTGCTGGCTTTGCATGATTAAAACCTCCAGAACAGCTTCCTCCAGAGACCAGAGTTGGCAGCTCCAGTCTAAGATCACGTGGCAATCAAAACAGTCCAACACATTGATATATCTGAAGATGTTACTTGAAGTGGAATATCTGTCATGGCTTTCTCTCCTCAACAACACTCAGAGGTCTTGAAAATGGAATATGTATACCAGTATTGAGGTCAGTTGTGACTTAAAGCATACTCTACCATTTAATGAGATCACGGCTGATCTACTTCAACACCATTTTCCTACATTGTCCCCACATCAATCTCAGTCTTGAACAAACATCACAATTGAGCATCTGCAACTCTCCGGGGCAGAGATTTCAAAACTTCACCACCCTCTGACTGAAGAAATTCCACCCCAACTCAGGCCTTAGCCTAGATCCTCAGCCTGAGGAACTGGCCTTCCTGTATCTATCTTGCCAATTCCTGTGGGAATTATGTGTGAAACAAATATACCTGAAACAATTTGGTATGTTTGAATACAAGCACCTTTCATTCTTCTAAATTACAGAGAATACAAGTCCATTTGATTAAATTTACCTCATACAACAATCCCTATATCTCTGGGATCAGTCTGGTATACTACTGCCCCTATGGCAGGTATAATTTTCCTTAAGCATGAGGACAGATTTAGCACACAATACTCCAGATGTGATCACGTGCAAACTCCGTACAATATAAGAAACATTTTTACTCTTACATTCAAATCATCCTGCAATAAAGGCTAACATGCCATCTGCCTTTAACCAGCATGTTAACATTCAGTGATTCATGAACAAAAACAAAATCCTCTATGGCCCCAGGAGAGGTGCCAGAGAACTGGAGAACAGCTAATTTGGAACCGTCAGTCAAGAAGGGCAGTCGGAATAAACCAGAAAACTACTGACCAGTCTGACATCTGTGGTAGAAAAACAATTGGAAAAAAATTTGAGAGTCAGAACTAATCTGCACTTGGAGGAGATAGTCAGTAACGCTTTAAAAAAGGAGATAGCGTTTAATCAAGTTGATTTAATTTTTCAAGATGGCATCTAGATGTGTAGATGAGGGTAATGCAGTTGATGTAGTTTGCATAGACTTTAGTAAAAGTCACATAACACTAGGTTGTAGTCCTACAGATTTACTTAAAATTGCAAGTTTTTGGAACACTGCTTTGTCACTTCACATGGCAAAAACTCCAAAAGTTTGTGATTTTAAATAAATCAAGTGGACTACAACCAGTTGTTGTGTCAATTTTGACTTTGTCCAGCCCAGTCCAACACTGGCATCTCCACATCATGCGTGGGCTTCAATAAGGCTTTTAACAAGGTCTTGCATGACAAACTGGTTAAGGAGCTTAGGGAGTCCAGTGCTATTTGGCACATCAGTACCCAAACTAGCTTAGAGGCAGAAGGCGACAGTAAAAGGGCCTATTTTATGATTGGAAGCCTGTGCCCAGTTATGAAGCACAGGGTCTGGTCCTGGATCCTTTGCTGTTAGTTGTGTACATTAATGACCCAGACATGAAATGTAGGACCCTTCTCAGGAAGGGTCACCAGGCCCGAAACGTTAACTCTGTTTTTTCCTTCACGGATGCTGCCAGACCTGCTGAGCTTTTCCAGCAACTTCTGTTTTTGTTCCTGATTTACAGCATCCGCAGTTCTTTCGGTTTTTATGAAATGTAGGAGGTATGATCATTAAATCCAGTGGGGTGGTAAATAACAAGGAGGACTACAGGAAGATACGGACAGGCTGGTCTGATGGGCTGAAAAGTAACAAATAGAATTTAATCCTGGAAAGTGAGAGGTGATGCAATTTGGAAAGGCTCAGAAAGGAATGGAGCACACGTTGAATGGAGTGACCCTGGGATACCCCCGGGGACAGCCATCAGGAAAGAGGGGTGGGAGGTATCCGAGACAATAAGGTGCAGGGCTGGATGAACACAGCAGGCCAAGCAGCATCATAGGAGCAGAGAGGCTGACGTTTCGGGCCTAGACCCTTCATCAGAAAAGAGGTATCCCACTGCTCTAGTTACAGCTCCCCTCCCTAACACAGACACCAAGCGGGAAGCAGGAAGCGGGGCTCCATAGCACTCACTTGGCCCTCGACATCCATGACCTCTAGTTTCTGCGTCACTACCTCGACCTCCATCCCACCACCGCCGCCGGATCGCACTGATGCAATCGCGACCTCCAGCCGACAGCGCACGGGAACTCCGTCACGACGGGACATCAGCCAATCAGGGAGCAGGACTCCCGGCATTGCCGGACCGCTGGTAGGCTGGGCCTGTGACGACGACACGGAGAGGTGACCAATGATGTGTCGGTTCCCACCCACACCAGCCTCTCTCTGATTGGTCACTCTTGCAGTCCTGTGTCTTTGTGACCATTCTCCAGCGGCCGTTCACTAGCTGTACCAATGCTGTTCGAACCGATCACAGCGCTGTTTTTCACTGCAGCAATACTCTAGGCGCTGCTAAATACGTTCATCAAAGTGAATTCAATTTTACTTCAGTTACATTTCTCTCAAATGCTGACTAGTCTGGGTTTGAATCACACTAACAGCCAAAATGCAACTGTAGTCTCCTTGAATTTTCCTCTGCAGTGTAATCTTTGGAATATAGAGTTATACAGCACGAAAACAGATCCTATGAGATAATAAGGTGCAGAACTGGATGAACACAGCAGGCCAAGCAGCATCCGAAGATGGGTCTAGGCCCGAAACGTCAGCCTTCCTCCTCCTCTGATGCTGCTTGGCCTGCTGTGTTCATCCAGCTCTGCACTTTGTTAACTCAGATTCTCCAGCATCTGCAGTTCGTGCTATCTCTGAAACAGATCCTATGGTCCAACTTGCCCACGCCAACCAGATATCCTAGCTGACCTAGTCCCATTATCCAGTATTTGGCTCATATCCCTCTAAACCCTTATTATTCCTATACCCATCCAGATGCCTTTTAAATGCTATAATTGTACCAGCCTCCACCACTTCATGTGGCAGCTCATTCCCCATACACGTACCACCCTCTGCATGAAAATGTTACCCCTTGGGTCTTTTTTAAATCATTCCCCTCTCACCTTAAACCTATGCCCAAAGTGGAGCTGCAGGAACACAGCAGGTCAGACCGCATCAGAGAAGTAGGAAAGTTTACCTTTCAGGTCGGGATCCTTCTTCAGAACATCAGGGTCCTGACCCGAAAGGTCGACTTTCCTACTCCTCTGATGCTGCCTGACCTGCTGTGTTCCTCCAGCTCCACACTGTGTTGACTCTGACTCAGCATCTGCAGTTCATGCTACCCCTTAAACCTATGCCTTCTAGTTTCGGACACTCCCACCGAGGAAAAAAAGACCTTGGCTATCCATGCCCCTCATGATTTTATCAACTTCTGTGCTGACAATTCTGTCAAATGATTTTAATTTAAGTCTTAAAGTAAATTTGACATTCTCTAAACTGAAGATGCCAAAATATTAAAGTCCTGCGAAAGCACCTTTTTTCTGATTAGGAGAGACATTGGAGCCTGAACAGTTACAAACAGACCCCATTGGAGGCATAGATTCCATCTGTAAAGGGAACTCATTGAAGGTGCAATGTCTGCTTTTGTTTAAAGTCCAAATGTAAGGAGAGTTTAAGTGTTAGTATTCCAGCAAGTTGTACTCACGTACTTTACCTGCAGGTTCCAATCCCACTTTCAGCCTTGATTAGACAAGGGTGATTTTTTTTTAAAGCCTCACAGTGCCAGGGACTTGGGATCAATTTCAGTGTTGGGTGACTGTGTAGAGTTTGTACATTCACCCCATGTCTACATGGGGTTTCCTCTGGGATGCTCCGGTTTCCTGACACGGTCCAAAGATGAGGAATTTAAGTCGGTTTGGCCATGCTGAAAATTGCCTCATAATGTCCAGGGATTTTCAGATTAGGTGGGTTAGCCATGGTTAAAACCCCCATGTGGGGTTACAGGGATGGGGTGGATCTGGACAGGGTGCTCTTCAAGGGTTCAGTGGGCTGAATGGCCTCTTCCTGTACTATAGGAGTTCTATGAATTTTGTTAAGGCATGAAATTTTATGCTGGTCCAGATGGCTTTTCCAGGTGCTGTGTGTCTGGCTGCTATATAGAGTCATAGGGTCACATAGCACAGAGACAGGCCATTCAGTCCAACCAGTCCATGCCAAACTTTATCCCAAATTAAACTAGTCCTACCTGCCTGCTCCTGGTCCACATCCCTCCAAACCTCTCTTATTCATGTATTTATCTAAGTGTCTTTTAAACTTTGTAACTATGCCCACATTCCCCACTTCCTCAGGAAGTTCATTCCACACGTGAACCACTGCCTGTGTAAGATATTTGCCCCTCATCTTTTTTAAATCTCTCCCTTCTCACCTTAAAATAATCCCCCTTGTCTTGAAATCTCCCACCCTAGGAAAAAAGACACTGCAGCAATTGCAGTTTTCTCCAGAGGTGTGGGTGTATGAGGCTGCATTCACTGCAGTTGATGCTAAGCCAGGAATCCAAATTGAAACAATAAAAATCAAGTGCCTGCATTGTGCACTCTTGAGGAAAGCTTGAAAGACCAAAATGGACTTTGTTGTCACCTTATTTAAATAGTCAGGTAAGTTCAAGTTTTGTAACTTTCTCTATTGAATTGCACTGTAAAGTACCCAAGTGTATATGAAAGTGTTTTAGTGAGTTCCTGGGGTTGCCAGAGTTATTGCATTTTCACAGGAATGGCAGAGGATTGGGATATCTATCCACATAAAAGGCTGTAACTGATATGATGACAGCAATGTTAGTGCCTCTGGGTCTGCAGCACGACAGGGAGGTGGAGCAGAAGCCACATAGTTGGCAATAACCACTTGTGTTAGGTTATTCAATCTCTCATTGCATTTTAGCCAGATCCTCGGGTCCAGACTCCTGAAGTTGATCTTTTCTCTGAGGGTAGTTCTTGAAGGCAGACTGGCCCATTGCATTGGACCATGGCATCCATGTAGGAATAAATGGGTATCACAAGGATCAGACCTAGGACCCCAACTATTCGTAATATATATATTAATGATTTGGATGAGGGAATTAAGTGTAATACTCAAAATTTACAGATGACACAAAGCCAGGTGAATTGTTAAGGGGATGCAAGAGATGCTTCTGTCTGATTTTAACAAGTTGAGTGAGTGGGCAGATGCATGGTCATGCAGTATAATGTGAATAAATGGGAGGCTATCCACTTTGGTAGCAAAAAGAGGAAGGCAGATTATTATCTAAATACAGGTTGTTCTACTATAACGTGTGTTTCATTAACACAAATTGGCTGTAACAAGATTGATGAATAGTGGATGCTGTTTGGATAACGCAAACTTTCTGCTGTTCAGATATAGCAATTTGCTATAGTGATTTCCCTATAACGTGATTTTCTATGGCAATTTTCTATAGTGCGAGGTCACACAAGAACGCAGCTATTGCATGATGGGAGAACTACCTGTAGCTATAATTTGAAAGCGAGAATGTGCAATGAAACCTGGATATCCTTGTACACCGGTTACTTAAGGTAAGCATGCAGGTGCAGCAGTCAATAAAGAAGGCAAATGTTATGTTGGCCTTCATGACAAGATGATTTGAGCACAGAAGCGGGGATGTCTTGCTGTAATTTTACAGAGCTTCAGTGAAACCATACCTGCAATATTGTGTGCAGTTTTGGTATTCTTATCTGAAGAAGAATGTTCTTGCTATATAAAGGGAGTGCCACTAAGGTTTAACAGACTGATTCCTAAGATAATGGGACTGATGTATTAGGAGAGGTTGAATTGGTTGCGATTATATCCGCAAGAGTTTAGAAAAATGAGGGTGAATCTCATAGCAACCTATAAAATTCTAACAGGACCAGAAAGGATACATGCAGGAAGGATGTTCCTAATGGTGGGGAGTCCAGAACCAGGGGACACAGTCTAAGGATATGGGGAAAACCATTTAGTACTGATATGAAGAGAAACCTCTTCACTTAGAGTGATGAACCTGTGTAAGTCACAACCAAAGAAAGCAGTCAAGGCTGAAACATTGTATGATTTCAAGGAGGAGTTGGATATAGCATTCAGGACTAAAGGGATCAAAATATATGCGGGGAAACAGGAACAGGATGTTGAGTTGGATGATCAGCAATGATCATCCTGAATGACGGAGCAAGCTTGAAGGGCTGACTCCTCCTCCTATTTTTGATATTTCCATGGTTCCTTATATCCACCTGCAACAACAATGCCTCCTGTCAGTCTGGATTCCTCTATATGTTCTGGTGTTCATATTGCAAAAATTTACAATGCAAACAACCTACTGTGCATTTCATTTATAAGGCAGACTGTCTTTTAGGGATAGTAAACTACCTGCTGAATAAAACGGAAACATGGATTCCACACATAGGACTGACTTTATTTTCCAGCTTTTATATCTATGGCCTCATCCCTCCCTAGTTCCATAAACTTCTGACCACACAATCCTCTGAGAGGTCTTTGCTTCACAAGTAATGGGCCCCTCATGCATCTTGGAAATTTAGGGGACACAGTGGCATAGTGTTAATATCCCAGACTATTGCTCTGGGTACATGGGTTTGAATCTCACCATCTCAGACGGTGAAACTTGAGTTTTTAAAAAAATCTGAATTAAAAGCTCACCAGTAGTGACTGTGTAGCCATTGTTGATTGTTGTAAAAACCAATCTAGTTCACTAATGTCCTTTAGGTAAGGAAATTTGCTATCCTTACCCTGTATAGTCTACATGTTACTCCAGACCAAAGCAATGTGGTTAGCTCCTAATTGTCCAGTGAACAATAAAAGCTGGCCTAGAAAGCTACACCTACATCCCATGTACAAATGAAAAAAAAAGGAATCCACAGTTTTAATTGCTGCACTGCTGGTGGCTGCATCTTCGGATGCCCGAGTCCCAAGCTCTGGAAAGCACAGTCTACTTCATTTTTCTCCTTTAAAATCCTCCTTAAAATCTACAACTTTGGCTAAATGTTGGGTCAACTGCACTAACACCTCATATAGCTCTGTGTCTTACTTGGTTTCATAACGCTTCAAGAAGCTTCATGGCTCATTGAACTACATTAGAAGCTTATCAGCCAAGATCGAATGGTGGAGCAGACCTGATGGACTGAATGGCCTAATTCAGCTAATTACTGGTTTCATCAGCTCCTCAAAAATATTAGGTTAGCCACCAATCCGAATTTCCCAAGATTTTATAAGGATTTCCAATTTGTTTTATGACATTTTGCTTTCTCTTTATATTTCTGAAGCATATTTTTGAAGGCCCAAACTTTGCAGAGGAGTCTGGATCATGATGTCAGAAAGGTTGTGCTTTTCATCACACATCAAGGTATTTTATGCTGTGAGACTCTGAAGTTGGTCCAAGCTGACACTCCTTTCAAATGCTGTGCTTGAGATGAATAAGGCACTTAGATAAGAAAGCTAAGAAGGAATAAGAAATACAGCAATAACGCTGGTGACAAAAACAGAAATTGCACGAAAAGCTCAGCAGGTCTGGCAGCATCCATGGAGAGAAACTAGGTCTAATATTTCAGGTCGAGTACCCTTCCTCAGAACTGTGTTTGGGTCACTCGACCCAAAACATCAGTCCTGGTTTCTCACCATGGATGCTGCCAGACCTGCTGTGCTTTTCCAGTAACATCTGTTTTTGTTACTGATTTACAGCTTCCACAGTTCTTTCAGTTTTCATTTAGTACTGTTGATGAGTTGAGATAGAAAGGATTGGGAGGAAACTTGTATAAACATCAATTTAGACAAGTTGGACTGAATGGCTAGCTTTTGTGCCAAATGTTTGATGTAATCTTATGTAACACTGCCTTGAGGATTTGCTGAAGAGTTGCAAGTTCTACTTTTTGAAGAAAAAGGTCCCATTGTTCAACTTCAATTATTCAGATGTTCATTGACCTTTTATTTAGAATATTGCTGTTTGAGGGAAATTACTGCTATGTTTACAAACATTACAACTGGTATGTCCTTCTAAAGTAGAAATTACATTATGTAAAGTGATTCCAGCATTTTGAAATTAAAGTTTAAATCCAAATCACTATTCTTTTTAATCTTAATTTTAACTTATTTTCTGAGTATTCAGGATGGCTATGATAAATTAATGCTTTTGGCACTAGGCTTCAGGTAGCATGGATTCAGGCATAGATCAGTACTTCCCACAAGAATTTTCATCCAACAAAATCAATGGTCATAGGGTTGTGTGGGATGTTCTTACACTCAAATTCTGAATAAATATCAGGATAAGTCTTTGAGTCAGACAAAACATTTTGCTATTTCAATTAATCATAATTTTTCAACATAAAAATATTTTTCAGTATGATCTTAAGACGTGATAGCCATGTTTGAGTTGTACTGCATTATAGTCTCCTACTAAACAGAGAAGATTGAATAAAAGTTTGTATATTTAGTTTTTCTTTTCGTTACTGTGGATAGCTTAGATTGAATTAAAGTCTGTATATTTAGTTTTCTTTTCATTACTGTGGATAGCTTCTTTAAATTTCACAAATCTGTTTAACTGTTAAATTTTGAGAGGGGGATAATTTTTCAAGTAAGTAAATGTTTCTCTTGTCATGAATTGACCACAATTTAATGCGAAGGATTGCAATATGCCAACTTAATTCAAGTCATCATTTCAGCACTTTTATTAATATGCAAAATAAATAAATAATACAATACACATTGAAAGAATGTCCGTAAATAAAACTAAATGTGGAGTACCTTCTTTGACTGCATATTTACAAGCCAGAGGTATATATTACTACAAATTGTTATATTTTCATTGATTCCTACACTACCCCAAACATTAAACATTCTTGTAGAATGACTGTGCAAAGGTAAGCAGCTAAGTCACCCTACAGGATCCAATCAAGGCACCAATACTGTCTTTCACAAACAGAAATACTGCCTGTTATTTGTACTTCACAAATTCATGCGATTTATACTATTTTAAGTCAAAATTTGATATACATTAAATAATAAATTGTAACATTTATGTCCTAGTTCTGTAGCACTCACTTGGAAGTATGTTAATATAACGCTGCTTATTCCTAAAGGCATGTGAAAATTTGAACAAATATTTGTGTGCCATGCATGCTTTATACTCACCAATGCTAAAATGAAAATTAGTTGATGAGCAATATATTATATTTTGTTGGGGGCTCTATAATTGTACATGAATGCGCTCAATAAAAAATAATAAGCAAAGAAATATTGGCAATTTAGTGCTTCTTCTGCTCAATAAATCTTGCTGAAGTAAACATGTTTTATTTGTTCCTCTCCATCCCTTCAGACTTCAATTAAAATCGCACAGTCTATTGAGCATTCAGCCTAATAATCCTCATCTTCGGGATGAGTCACGTATGTAAAGGGTACTAATCCACGTTCAGCACCAAGGCCACACAGCAGCCAGTCAGCATCCACTTTTGATATCACTCTCAGAACGTCACCTTTTTTAAAGCTGAGTTGTCCTTTCTCAGTTGCTATGTGATGACAAAGTGCTTTCACTTCTCTTGAAGGAAAAGAAAATAAAAAAAGTCTGAAAATCTGAATGCATAACTGATCTCAATATGCTAAATATTAATTATATTTTACGTTAGCATTCTGTATCCCACCCCATTCTGTACTGTTGTTAAATCTTTAGTAATCTATGATCTCTATAAATACTTGAGTGTAAATGCATTAAGAATAATCGGCTGTTTTTTTCAAGTGAAGTACTTGAGGAGTTGCACTTTTTCTGTACAGTTTGAACTGTTATGAAATTCTATTAGTTGTACTTTACCATCAGAAGTAATGGATCAGAGGAGAATATTATATTGTTTCTTTTCAAGTCTTGATCACATATATGAGGATGAAAGATGTTGATTCACTTACAGAAAACTATTAGCATTTTCAATACCAACAGCTGATAATCTAATGGCTACGAATGGGACACATTTATCTGGACATGCAGTGAAGACGGTGCTGTAGTGGTCATGTAACTGGACTAGACATCAAGGGACCACAGTTAATGCAGGTGTTGAAATTTAAATTCAATTAATAAAAAAATCAGGAATTAAAAGCTAGTCTCAGTAATAGTGTTGTCATTGATAGTCAAGAAAAAATTCATCTGGTGCACTAATGTTCTTTAGGAAAAGAAACTTGTCCTTAACTATTCGAGCTTACATGTGACTCTAGATCTATAGCAACGTGGGTGACTCTTAACTGTCCTTTGAAATGGTTGACAAGTCATTTGAGTTCAAACGTAATTATAAATGGGCAAAAAATGCCGGCCTTAATAGTGGCACTAACATCCCATAAAAAATTAAAGAAATTCATTATCTGGTTAATTATCTCATCTTAAACAATTGAATTTTTACAGCAGCAATCAAGTGGGACAAAAGACCTTGTTCTCATACCGAGTTACTCACAGGTCACAGACCTAAAGATCCAAATGATCACTCTTAAAGCAATATACAAAAAGCAAGTACTATTTAAATGCTTCTTTGTATCCACAAATACCTGACTATTGAATCTGGTTATGAGATAGATATTTTTAATATTCTTTGTTTGCATACTTTTTCAAAGACTTTTGAATGCTCCATCTAATTCTGACTTCGCAATTAGTCATTCTGAAGCCATCAAGCTTATAGGCCATACAGAGATTTCTTGAGAGAAAACTGATGTAAGAAACTGTGTCTCAAGGGTCACTTTTATGTTGCATTAGTAATTGAAGGAAGATTCTTTTTCGAATAAAAGAAAAAGTACCTTTGCTGTTTTTGATATTTTGTGAATAGCATAGTATTTAATTATTGCAAAACTATTCAGAATACTGTTCATAGGTTCAGAGAATCATAGAATCCCTACAGTGTGGAAACAGGCCCTTCGGCCCAACAAGTCCACACCGACCCTTGGAGCATCCCACCCAGACCCATCCCCCTATAACCCACCTAATCTACACCTCCCTGAACACTACGGGCAATTTAGCATGTCCAATCCACCTAACGTGCACATCTTTGGACTGTGGGAGGAAACCAGAGCACCCGGAGGAAACCCACGCAGACACGGGGAGAATGTGCAAACTCCACACAGACAGTCGCCCGAGGCTGGAATCGAACCCGGGTCCCTGGCACTGTGAGGCATATGATTCATTTAGAATCATAGAGTCAAAGAGATCCACAGCATGGAAACAGGCCCATCAGCTCAACTTGCCTATATCGCCCAGTTATCACAATTAAACTAGTCCCATTTGCCTTGATTGGTCTATATCCCTCCACATCTATCCCATCCATGTATTTTTCTGAATGTCTCTTAAATGATGAAATCGTACTCACTTCCACCACTACCTCTGGCAGTTCGTTTCAGACACTGACCACTCTCTGTGTGAAAATATTACCTCTCTCGACCCTTTTGGATCACTCCCCTCTCACCTTAAACCTATGCCCTCTAGTTTTACACTCCCCTACCATAGGGAAGAACTACTGGCTATTTATCTTATCTATGCCTCTCATGATTTTATAGACTTCTATAAGGTCAACCCTCAGTCCCCTACGGTCCAGGGAAAAAAAGTCCCAGCCTATCCAACCTCTCCTTATAACTCAAGCATTCAGTTTTTATGGTGTTGTAGTCAGAAGAAATCAGCACAAAATTTTTGTTCCTGAACCACAACTAGTCAGTATTTCTAGAACATGTAAGAGAGAGAGAAAGGGCGTATAACAAAATGCACAGATATCATCTGCCATAACATTTAAACTCCGAAGGTAATTTATTATACTATATAAGCTCCGTAAATATTGACATGAAGTAATTCACAATTGCTATAATTCAACAAGGCTGTCAAAATTTCATGACTTGGTACGTAGATTATTGATGACCTAAAATTATGACAAACCTAAGAATTGATCCCTCCAAAAGAGAAATAAGCTTACAATGGTAACATTTCAAATTAAATGAGCTTGTGATCACACATTCAATCAATAATTTTCTATAATGGGATGAATAATCCCCCCCACAAACCACTACAAAAATTTTATTTTAAAAATCTTAAAACTAATGCTGTACGTGTAGCAGACATGTTATACTAAGAGTTCACACGTAGAATTCCTACAACTTGGATGACACTAGTGATAGGAATCAGAATTTACCTGCAAGGAAGCCAACAGGGGACAATTTGGCGTGCAGAACGTTTATATTAGGGTTTAAATTTCTCCATACCACCTTAGAAACATGACTCACCAGAAAACTAATCCCACACCATTACCAGATGTCTTAAAACAGGGCAAATTTCATCCTTCCTCAGATGCAGAAAAATATATGTATTAAGTAAATATATTTTGAAAATAGTACAAATACAATCCTACAGCAAGTGTTTTGCTTTAGTTAGTAAAAGTCCATGAAGTGAAACGATTTTGAGTGTTTACAGTCACTTCCAAATACACCTTTTTGCCTTACCCACATGTAATTTACCAACAGTGACTTTGGTAATCTAAACAGCTAAAGTGGTAATTTTTTTCTTACAATGTTCTCTGCAACTGCTTCATACTTGATGAAAGATTGTGGTCCACACGGATACCAACAACATAGGTAAGTCTAGGAAAAATGATCTGCTTAGATAATATGAGCAGGTAAGAGTTAAATTCACAAGCACATCTCAAAGGTAATAATCTCTGAATTAGTACCAGACCTATGAGCAAATTGGCGTAGGGCAATTAAGATGAGAGAGTTAGTGCAGAAAGTATTCAAAGATTGGTGTGGGAAAAATAGGTTTCAATTCATGAGGCTCTGGCACGGGTACTGGGGAAAGCGGGAGCTGCTTATTAGATTCACGAAGAAGCAATGTTCTGGTTGTACACTAATGGTTTAGAAAGCAGCGGTTCACCTTAGTTGAAGGTTCAATGACAAGGGGGCATAATTATTAAGTAAAAAGTGGGAGGCTTAGAGGGAATTTGAGGAAATACCTTTACCTGGAGGGTGGTGGGGATCTGGAATTTTTTAAATTCATTCATAGGATGTGGGGAGTCTCTGGCTAGGCCAGCATTTATTGCCCATCCCCATTTGCCCAGAAGACAGTTAAGAGCGTACCACATTGCTGTTGTTCTGGAGGAGACACAAACAGGTCAGCCCAGGTAAGGCTGACAGTGTCCTTCTCTAAAGAGCATTAGTGAACCAGATGGGTTTTAAGCAAATGCATTGCCAGGAAGCGTAGTTGAGGCAGGAAACCTCACAACCATCAAAAAGTAATTGGATGACCACTTAAATTGTCATAACATTCAGGGCTTTGCGCCTAGTGTGGGAAAATGGGATAAGTGTAGGTAGTAGAATATTTTTGATAGGCTCAGGGCCTCTTCTGTAGTGTATGATTCTATGCAAGATGGTAGAGAGGACTTTAAATTAAATAAAGGGATGATGGATCAAGGAGGGATAAATTGGATGAGGCAGAGCAAGAAAACAAGGTAGAAATAAGGAAAGCGATAATCAAAACATCGCAGAAAGGGACAGAGCAAAAAAAAAGATTTTTTTTCATTCATGAAATGTGGGTGTCATTGGTTGAGCCAGCATTTATTGCCCATCCCAAGTTGCTCTTGCAAAGTTAGTAGTGAGCTTTCTTCTTGAATCGCTACAGTTCATGTGGTGTAGGTACCCCAAATAGCCAAAGGGAGGGAGTTGGAAAATTATGACCCAATGACACTGAAAGAATGATGACATGTTTCTAGTAGCATGTACCACCTACAAGATGCAGTGCAGAAATTCACCAATGATCCTTAGACAGGCACTACCATCTAGAAGAACAAGGGCAGCAGATACAGGGGAGTACCACCAATTGCAAGTTCCTCTCCAAGCCATTCACCATGGAAATATATCATCATTCCTTCTGTGTCGCTGGGTGAAAATCCTGAAATTCCCTCCTTTATGGCTTTGCAGTTTACCTACAGCACATGGGCTGCAACGGTTCAAGAATGTAGCCCACCACCACCTGCTCAAGAGCAGATGGGATAGGCAGTACATGCTGGCCGAGACAGCAACCACCAAGTCCCATGAGTGAATAAAAAAAAATGGAAACTAGTGATGTGCAACAAATGCTGGCCTTGCTAGTGACACCTACTAGCTCACGAAAGATAAAGAATTAAAAAAAAGTTAAACAGTAATGGTAACATAGGGTGCTGTGTAAATCAGGAAATCAATTGTAATGCATAGAACTTCAAACTATATATAGGCAGGTAAATCTAATTGACACTACTATTGTGGAGGATAAATTCCTGGAATGTAAATGAGATGGTTTTTTGAATGGTATATTGAATAACCAATTAGAGAACAGGCTACTTTAAATCTATTTTAAATTATCAATGAGAAATTCTGATATAAAGGAGTCTCTTGGGAGGAGTGACCATAATATGAATTCCATGTTTCAATGGGCTGAAGAGTGGCAGGACTTATACACTTAATGGTAAAGTCCTGGGGAGTGTGGCTGAACAAAAAGACCTTGGAATGCAGATTAATAGCTCCTTGAAAGTGGAAAGTGAAGGCAGACTGGGTAGTGAAGAAGGTGTTTAGTATACTTGCCTTTATTGGTCAGTGCATTGAGTATAGGAGTTGGGAGCTCATTTTGCGACTGTACAGGACATTGGTTAGGCCGCTTTTGAAACACTGCATGTAATTCTGGTCTCTCTGCAGAAGGAAGGATGTTATGAAAGTTGCAAGGGCTCAGAAAAGATTTACAAAAATGTGGCTATGGTTGCAGGGTTTGAGCTATAGGGAGAGGCTGAATAAGCTGGAGCTATTTTCTCTGGAGCATCAGAGGCTGAGGGGTGACCTTATGGAGTTTATAAAATCATGAGGGCATGGATGGGATGAATAGCTAAGCTCTTTTCCAGGGGTGGGGAAGTCCAAAACTAGACGGCATAGGTTTAAGGTGAGAGGGAAAAGATATAAAAGGGACTTTAGGGGCAACATTTTCACCCAGAGGGTGGTGTGTGTATGGAATGAGCTGCCAGAGGAAGTGGTGGAGGCATCTGGATGGGTATGTGAATAGGAAGGGTTTGGAAGGATATGGGCCAAATGCTGGCAAAGGGGGCTAGATTAATTTAGGATATCTGATCGGCATGGACGAGTTGGTCTGAAGGATCTTGTTGCCATGCTGTACATCTCTATGACTATGAAAATGATGAGATTCAATCTGAAACTAAGGCCTTAAATCTAAACAAAAAACTAAGGGGTGAGGGAAACTTGCTGTGGTGGATTGGGAGACTGTATTAAAGACTATAACAGAAGACAGGCAATGACTAGTATTTTAAGAATACATACATGGTTTACAACAATTGGTACAAAAATCTAGCAGGCAAGGAGTTGCAAGCATTGCTAACAGGAGATGTTAACGATTAGGTAAAAGGAAGAGACTTACAACATTGTGGAGCATTTTAGTATTCACCAAAAAACAACCAAAAAATTGATAGAGAAGCAGAAAAGACAATGCAAACATATTGGGAGAAGCACAAAATGGAATGTAAAACCATCAATGTTTGGACATTAGAAAGAAAATGGTTAGCAAAGTAAATGTGGGTCCTCTATAGGCAGAAGTAGGGAAATTTTGCAGAAATCAAATATGGTTATGCCTGTCCTCACAGAAGAAGATACAAAAGTCACCCAGGGAAAGTTTTCTGCCCTTAGGAAGGCTATACCTGTCATAGTGTGAGTGGAATAAAGGCTCACCAGGCTGATACTTGGGTTAGAGGGCATGTCCTATGGAGAAAAGATTGTGGATACTGGGGCCATATGCTCTCCAGTTTATAAAAATGAGAGGTGATCTCAAAGAAGCACACAAATTTCTTATAAGGATAGATGCAGGAACGATGTTCCTCCTGATTGAGAGTCTAGAACCAGCCACACAGTCCCGGAAAGAGAGGTAAGTCATCCAGGACCAAAATAGAGGAATCAATTCACACAGAGGGTTGTGAATCTTTGGCATACTCTATTCAACAAGGCTGTGCATGCTCGGTTATTCAGCATATTCAAGACCGAGATTGACAAGATTTCTAGATATCAGAGATATCAAGGTGTTTGGGGATACGGTGAGAAAATGGCATTGAATTCGAAGATCAGCCATGATCTTACTGAACGGCGAAGCAGGCTCGAGGGCCTGAGTGGCCAACTCCCTGTCCTATTTTCTATGCTCCTCGATCATGCAAGTGAAGCATCACAACCACTGTTCTCATTGAAATTTCCAGTTAAACAGAGCCTGCACATTGAACCTATTGATTTGTATTGCTTTGTGCTTTAGAGAGCTGTGTTTACCCACCAGGACATCAGAGAAGATAGCTTTGTTACTTGAAGTAACTAAATCAGCCAATGAAACAACTGAATAAATAGAATGCATAACTGCCTAGATTCAGGAAAATAATGTAAATACTACTACCGCTCATGCTGAGCTTTTCTTTCTTGAGATTCAGGCTGACTACCTCCAGACTGTGGATTGAATTGTTCTGATATGCGCTGGAGACCTCTCCATTTTCCAGCTCCCATGGTCTGCACCATTAGATCATACACCGATCTATCAAGTCCCAACCAGCCAGAAGGTAATCTGGAAAAAAAAGATGGAAAATTTTAATTAAAATGATAAAATTATAGAATCTCTACAGTGTGGGAACAGGCAATTTGGCCCAATGAGTCCACACTGACCGTAACCACACAACCCTAACCCTAACCCTAACCCTAACCCTATCGCAAGTGCATCCCACCCAGACCCAACCCCTACCCTATTCCTGTAACCTTGCAAATCCCATGGCCAATCCACCAATCCTACACATACCTGACAGTATAGGCAATTCAGCATGGCCAATTCATCTGAACTGCACATCTCTGGACTCGGGGAGGAAACCCATGCAGACTCGGTGAGAATTTGCAAACTCCACACGCTCATTTGAGGGTGGAATCAAACCCAGGCCCCTGGCACTATGAGGCAGCAGTGCTAACCACTGAGCCACTGTGCTGCCCTGAATGTTTCATTGTTTTTAAAAACAATGCTCTACTGGTGCCCAAAGTTTCCACCCAAACCCCAACATAGATGAGTTATGTTCAGCTTACTATTAAAACCTTTCAGAGAATAAAGGAACAGGAGTAGGCCATTTGGCTCTTTGAGTCTGCTCCATCATGCAATATCATTGAATCATGGAATCCCTGGAGTGTGAAAACAGGCCATTCGGCCCAACAAGTCCACACTGCCCCTCCAAAGAGCATCCCACCCTGACTCATTCCCCTACCCCTGCATTTCTTCATATCTAACCCACCTAACCTAAACATCCCTGGACACTACGGGCAATTTAGCATAGCCAATCCACCTAACCTGCACATCTTTGGACTGAGAGAGGAAACTGGAGCACCTGGAGGAAACCCACGCAGACACGAGGAGAATGTGCAAACTCCACACAGGCAGTCACCCAAGGGTGGAACTGAACCCCGGTCCCTGGCGCTGTGAGGCAGCAGTGCTAACCACTGAGCCACCGTGTCTGCCCTGTTGGGGACCTCTGGAGGAGACTGAGATGGATGATTCTCTCAATACTTCTGGCTGAATACTGTTGCAAACGCTTCAGCCTTATTTTTTGCACTCCATAGATAATTATCTAACTCAGTATCGTGTTCCCACGTTCGCCTCGTACCCTTTGGTCCCTTTAGCCTTAAGAACCATATTGATCTTGTTTGCATGTGCTGCTGAGACAGAGTGCATCCTAAGTGAGACATAGCCAGAGTATACGTTCCTGGGAATTGAGAACAGTGGGAATTGGATGCAGAAGAGAATAGATGCTTTTTCCTTTTTTAGTGATTTATAGTTGATAAGGATTACATTCTACAGTAACGAGGACCTGGAATAAGGACCCTAGCGTAATTGATGTTTTTTTTTTCCAAAAGGTTTAATTTAAAGAGATAAGTCATGGCAGGAAAGCTCAAAACCGGGGTGTATTCTTCCTGCTCTATGTGGAAGTCAGGGAAAATTCCCATGCCCCGGGCCAGCTGCTTCTGGAAGCTGGGATTTCAGAGCTGGAATAGCAGCTGGGGTCACCGCACAGCAACCACAAGGCGGAGAGAATCGTGGTTAGCATATAGAGAGAGGTGGTCACACAACAAGCTAAGACTCCACAGGCAGGAATTAAATGGGTGTCTAGCAGGCAGATCAAGAAGATTAGGCAGTGCAAGAGTCTCCTATGACTATTCTCCTGCAAAACAGATTTGGATACTGTTGAAAAGAACAGTCTCTCAGGGGAAAGCAGCAACAGCCAAATTTGTTGCACCCGGCACCCTACTGCACAGGGATGAATAAAAAGTATGGGAATGCAATAGTTATAGGGGGATCAGTTGTAAGGGGAAAAGGAAGGCATTTCTGTGGTGGCAAGCAAGTCTTCAGGATGGTATTTTGCCTCCTTGGTACTAGGCTCAAGGATTTCTGAAAGCAGCTACAGGACATTCTTGAAGGGGAGGTGAATCGCCAGTAATTGTGGGACACATTGGTACAAACGATATAGGTTTAAAAAAAGGGATGAGGCCCTAAAAGCAACACAGGAGTTAGGAAATAAGTTGAAAATTTGGACCAATGATGTGGAATCTGTATGGGTAGAGTAGAAAAACACATTAGTGGGGTTTGTATACAGAACCCCCAAGTTGTAGGGGTGATGTTGGGAATGGAATCAAACAGGAAATTAGAGAGACATGCAATAAAGAAACACCTCTAATTATGGTAAACTTTAATCTGTATATAGATTGAGCAAATCAACTTATTAACAGTACCATAGTGGAGGAATTCCTGGAGTGTATACAAGAAAATTTTCTGATTTAACATACCAAGGATATTGGGAGGCAATAGCTTAGTGGTATTGTCACTGGACTGTTAATCCAGAGACCCGGGTAATGTTCTGGGGACCCTGGTTCAAAACCTGCCATGGCAGATGGTGGAAGTTGAATTCAATAACAAAAGAAATCTAGAATTAAAACTCTATTGATGACCATGAAACCACTGTCCATCTCATTCACTAATGTCTATTATGGAAGGGAACTGCCATCCTCACCTGGTCTGGCCTACACGCGGCTCCAGACCCACAGCAATGCAGTAATTAGGGTTGGGCAATAAATGTTGGCCTATCCATTGGCACCCACATCCCATGAATGAATGAAGAAACAATCCAATTAGAGAATACACCATTCTAGATGGGTACTGTGTAATGAAAAGGACTAATTGGCAGTTTGGTTGTGCATAGGCCCTCTGGGATGAATGGCCATAATATGCCAGAATTCCTTATCAAGATGCAGCGTGACATAATTAATTCTCAGAATCAGGTCCTGAATCTGAATACAGGAAATAATGGTATGAAACATGAGCTGACTATGATGAATTGAACAATGCTCAAAAGGATGATGGTGAAAAGGCAATAGCAAACATTCAAAGACAGCATGGATGAACTGCAACAACTGTTCACTCCTATCTGGAACAAAAGTAAAATGGGAAAGGTGGCCAAACCATAGGAAATTAGAGACAGTATCAGATCCAAGGAAGAGGCATACAAATTGGCCGGAAAAATTGGCCAGATCTGAGGAATGGATATTTAGACATCAGCAAAAAAGGACAAAGGGATTGGTTAAGAAAGAGAAAATAGAGTCAGAGATTAAGCCTGCAGAAACGTACAAACTGACTGTAAAAGCGTATTCTCTAATTGGATTGTTTCTTCATTCATTCATGGGATGAGGGTGCCAATGGATAGGCCAACATTTATTGCCCAACCCTAATTACCGCATTGCTGTGGGTCTGGAGCCGCATGTAGGCCAGACCAGGTGAGGATTGCAGTTCCCTTCCATAAAAGTGAAGGGAAGAAAATTGAAGAAAAATGTAGATCCCTTACAGACAGAAACAGGGCAATTTATAATGGTTCAGCGTTCATAAAGGAGGACACAAAAAGCGTACCAGAAATGGTGAGAAACACTGAGTTTAATGATAGGGAGGAACTGAAGGAATGAGATTGAAGGCAGATAAATCCCAAAGCTCTGATAATCTACATCCAAGAATACTGAAGGAAGTGGCCCTAAAAAGTAGTGGATGCATTGTTGGTCATTCTTCCACGATTCTATAGACTCTAGAACAGTTCCTACATATTGTAGGGTAGCTAATGTAACCCCTCTATTTCAGAAAGGAGGCAGAGTGAAAACCAGAAATTACAGACCAGTTGATGTGATGGAAAAAGGGAAAAAGCTACAGTTCGTTATAAAAGAATTAATAGTTGAGAATTTGGAAAACAGTGGCAGGATTGGAGAGAATCAGCATGGATGTATGAAAGGGAAATCATGCTTGAGAAATCTATTGGAATTCTTTGAGGATATACCTAGTAGAGTTGATGAGGGAGAGCCAGTGGATGTGGTTTATTTGGACTTTTGGAAGGCTTTCAACAAAGTCTCACATAAGAGATCAATGTGTAAAATTAAAGGGCATAAAATTGAGGGTAGTGTATTGAGATGGAAACGAAACTGGTTGGTAGACAGGAAACAATGAGTAGGGATAAATGGGTCTTTTTCGAATGACAGGCAGTAACTAATGGGGTAGCGCAGGGATCAGTGCTAGCCCTGAGCTATTCACAATATACATTAGTGATTTGATGAGGGAAATAAAAGTAAAATCCCCAAATTTGCAGATGACACAAAGTTGGGTTGTAAGGAGGATGCAGAGGTGCATCAGTGTAATTCTAACAAGCTGACTGAATGGGCAAATGCATGGCTAAAGCATAATAAGATGGATAAATATGAAGTTGTCCACTTTGGTCGAAAAAACAGGAGTGCAGATTATTATCTAACAAGCTATACATTGAAACAGGGGAATATGCAATGAGACTTGGGTGTCCTTGTACACCTATCACTCAAGGAAAGCATGTAGGTACAGCAGGTGTTAATGAAGGCAAATGTTGGCCTTCATAGCTAGAGGATTCAAGTGCAGGAGCAGTAACAACCTGCTGTAATTGTACAGAGCCTTGGTGAGGGCACACCTGGAATATCATGTGCAGTTTTGGTCGCCCTACTGGGGAAGGATGTCCCTGCTATAGAGTGAGTGCAGCGAAAGTTTACCTGACCAATTCCTGGGATGTTGAGATAGATGAGGAGAGGTTGAATCGGTTATATTTGCTGGAGTTCAGAAGAATGTGTGTGTGATCTCAAAAATACCTACACAATTCTCACAGGAGTAGACAGAGCAGATGCAGGAAGGATGTTCCCAAAGGCAGGGGAGTCTGGAACCACAGGTCATAACCTAAGGATATGGGGTAAACTATCTACTACTAAGATGAGAAGAAATTTCTTCACCTAAAGAGTGGTTAGCCTGTGGAATTCACTACCTAGAAAACAGTTGAAGCCAAGCACTGTATGATTTCAAGGAGGAGTTGGATTGAGCACTTGTGGCTAAAGGATCTGGGTGAAAAGCAGGAACAGACTACCAGGTTAGCTGATCAACCATGATCATAATGAATCGTGGAGCATTCATTAAGCATTAAGGGCCGAATGGCCCACTCCTGTTCTTATTTTCTATGTTTCTATGAAAACACTTAATGCTTTTGCAATCTCACACTGTCAGTCAGCTTTAAGGAAAATGATTAAAAATTTAGTCAATTACTGCCACCCTATAACTGAGGCCAGGAAATAATATTTAAACTTTTATTTGAAAAAAAAAACCCTGGAATTCGATAAAATGTCATGATTTATGAACTTCCAATTTAATATTAGACACTACAGTATCTCACTGACTGATTTGACACAATATGTGCAAATCTATGACCAACTTTAATTGCAAAGCATAGTACAAACTTTAAATTTTTATTGAATAGGTAGATGAACTGTTAGCTGGTCTTAAAAAGACATTTTGTGATGGGCTGTTGCAGGGAAAAGTTTCCACCGCAGAAGAAAGACAATTTATCCTGATGCTTCTTCACATGCTAAATTTGAAAGCCAAGTGCTTCCTTCACCAGAAAGAATGTGAAGACTGTAAAATTCTGTACAGTTGGTCACTCTGAATCATTTGTGACATCTGATTTAAAGTTGACAATAAGGAATGAGGCACAGTTGATTCAAGAACTTGTGCTTCAGACAAACACTTGCACTCCAGCTTAAAATAATGTGATAAAGATTTCAACTCTTTAAATTCAGGAAGATGAACATAATTGATGTATAATTCGGCAGCTAATGGGAAACACTGCAAATAGTTTGGCCAGAATCTAAAAAAGGTAAAAAGAAAATGTGAAAGTAAAACCCGAGTATTAAATTAGCTTCGTGGCAGACAAGAAAATGAGATTATTTTGGTGGCTTAAAGTTGACTTACAATAAACTTATGAAAATAAACGTTCAGTTCATCTCAAATTTTGACCTTCCCTTCATCCAAGTTATTATAGATTGTAAATGGTTAATGCCCAGCTACTGATTTTACTGGCATTCCACTAGTTAGTTTACTAACCTGAAAAATGATCCATTTATCCCTCCAATGTTTCCTGATAGTTGATTCATCTTCTATCCATATTAATACATTAACCAAATACCATGCGCTCTTTCGAGGCAAACTTTGCAGTATGTGGCACCTTACTGAAGTCCAAATGTACGACTTCCGCTATACTCATTTAGCAACCTTGCTTGTAACATTCTCAAGGTATTCGCCAATAACATAACCAAAATTCGTACCATTTTACAAAATCATATTGATTGTGTCTGATTGTATTACAATTTTCTAAATGTCCTGCCACTACCTCTTGAATAATGGATCTAGCAATTTTCTAATGTTAAGACTAACTGGCCTATTGTCTACTGCTTTCTAGTTCCTTTCTTTCTTAAATAATGCTGTTTCAGTTTTCAAAGCCGTGGGACATTTCCAGAATCTAGGCAATTCTTCCTTCAAGATCCTATCAGGCCCAGGGAATTTGTCAGGCTTTAATTCTTATTAACTGTTTCCTACCAACTGTTTTCTCGTGTTTGTGATTGTTCTCCCTCCTTTTCTAAAACACTCGGAATATTTTCTGAATCTCCTGGACAGATACAAAACATTTGTTCAAAGTCTATTCTATTTCCCCATTTCCCATTATTATTTCCCCAGGCTTATGCTCTACAAAGTAATGCTCACTGTTACTGCTCTTTTCCTATTTGTACTTTTGTAGATAACAAGGTGTAGAGCTGGATGAACACAGCAGGCCAGGCAGCATCAGAGGAGCAGGAAAGCTGACGTTTTGGGTCTGGACCCTTCTTCAGAAATGGGGGAGGGGAAGGGGACTCTGAAATAAATAGAGAGGGAGGAGGCGATGATGGAAGGTGGATAGAGGAGCAGAAAGGTGGAGAGAAGACGGACAGGTCAAGGAGGCGGGAATGAAGCCAGTAAAGAGGAGTGTAGGTAGGGAGTTGGGATAGGGGTTGGTCAGTGGGGAGGGAGAAGCGGGTAGGTGGGACGGAAGACAGACAGGTCAAGGAGGCAGGGATGAGGCTAGTAGGGAGAAAGCGAGGGTGGGAGTTGGTCAGTGAGGTGGGAGGAGCAGATAGGTGGGAGAAAAGACAGACGGGTCAAGGAGGCGGGGACGAGATAGGCTGGTCTTGGGATGAGGTCGGGGGAGGGGAGATTTTGACGTTTGTGAAGTCCACATTGAGACCATTGGGCTGCAGGGTTCCCATGCGAAATATGAGGAGCAGTTCCTCCAGCCTTTGGGTGGCATCGTTGTGGCACTGGAGGAGACCCAGGATGTACATGTCGTCCAAGGAGTGGGAGAGGGAGTTGAAGTGGTTTGCGACTGGGAGGTGTAGTCGTTTGTCATGAACCAAGCGTAGGTGCTCCACAAAGCGGTCTCCAAGCCATCGGTTTCCCCGATGTAGTGGAGACCACATCGGGAACAGTGGATACAATATACCACATTAGCAGATGTGCAGGTGAACATCTGTTTAATGTGGAAGGTTTTCTTAGGGCCTGGGATGGGGGTGAGGGGGGAGGTGTAAGGGCAGGTGTAGCACTTCCTGCGGTTGCAGGGAAAGTGCCAAGGGTGGTAGGGCTGGTGGGGAGTGTGCAGCGGACAAGGGAGTCATGGAGAGAGTGGTCCCTCCAGAAGGCAGATAAGGGTGGGGAGGGAAAAATGTCTTTGGTAGTGGGGTCAGAGCTCTTTTGTAGAGTTTTTCTTTACTGACTGTCTTTATATTGCTTACTAGTTTTCTCATAATTTCAAATTTCTTGAACTCCATTCTCTTTCAGCCATCTTTTGCTAGCTTCTAAAGTTTTCCCATCTTAGAACATAAGAACATAAGAACTATGAGCAGAAGTTGGCAATTCAGCCCCTTGAGTCTGCTTTGCCATTTAATACAATCATGGTTGATCTCATCTCGGTCTCACTCCTGCCTCTTTCCATAACCCTTCAACTAATTTCTATTGAAAATCTGTCTATTTCCTCCTTAAATTTACTAAATGTCCTGGCACTCACTACACTCTGAGGTAGTGAATTCTGCAGATTCACGGTCCTTTGAGAAAAGGGTCCCTTATCTCTATTTTAAATCTGCTACCCCGTATCCTAAAACTATGACTTCTCATTCTGATGTACTACTGATCTTTGCAACATTGTACAACATTTTTTCCAAATTAATACAACCCTTAACTTCCTAAGTTAACCATGGATCTTTCAACAAAGATATATTCGATATGAACTCTCTCCTTAAAGACTGTCACTGCTTCTCTACTGTCCTATCTTTTAACCTATTTACCTGGTCCACTTACAAAAGCTGTGTCGTCATATCCTTGTAATTGCCTTTATTTAAGACATAAGTTATGCACCAACATCTCTCAAACTACAATCATACTATGATCAATCTTGCCACGAGAATCCTTCACTTCAGTCCTGTCTCATTACACATTTAACAGGTCCAAAATAGCCTGGTCCCTGCTAGGTTCCAAAACGTATTTTTCTAAGAAACTGTCCCAAATATTCTCTATGATCTCATTGTTGAGGCTGCCTTTGCCAGATTGATTGATCTACAAATTCCTCTCAGTACGACATACCAGCCTGACTTGGACCTATATGACTTGTTCCTTTATTGTGCCTAAGTCAATATCTTGACATTCTGTACCCTTAAACATTATGGGAGCACCTTCACACGGATTGCAGTAGTTTAAGAAGGAGGGACATCTTCTGAAGCCAACAGGATGCATAATAAGTACCACCCTGACAGCATTGTCTACTTCCTGGGAACAAGAAAGAAAACAGACTAACCTGTTTTTTTGTGATTTTACCAGTCGTGTCTCTTCTTTTCTAGCCTGATTTACACTTGCACCAAATAACCGGCCCAGCCACATTCCTTGCTTGCTTTCAGTATTATCCATGTTTGGCATTTTTCCTGGTTGTGGATCATTATTATTTGAAGCAGTGCTTTCATTAACTTTACTATTCTTAAGTTCATGTAGCACGGATTCTGGAGGACTCCCCATCCAAGAAGGTTTGGCTTCATTTTTAGAATACTCAGGCTGAATCGTTTTTGAGAATTCCTTAGTGGCTGCTGCCTCTTCACTGGACTCAGCTTGATTGGACAACACACCACAAATGTTCAACTTGTGTAATTCAGATGTTGGCTGACTCTCTGCTCCTTCTGGGACACCCTCTCGAAGTGATTTTTTCTCTGTATTGATGCTTAACTGTGGGAGTACGGTAGCTGTACTTTGCTTCTTTCTCTTCTCCCAGTTTACAAACATTGATTGTTCTGAAGAACCTTCAATATACACCTGTGAGCTCTGCATAAGCTGGTACCACCATCCTGCTTGCTTGTCCTTTTTAGTTTCACTTACGTTCTCCTTTCTAATTTTTTCCACATTCTGTACATCATCTTCATGTTTATCTAGTATTACAGCATCCCTTGCTATTACACCTTTCAGTGTAAATCCTTCTGATTTGTCTTCTCTGTCCTGTATAGGTCCCAAACTTACATTACTACCATTGTTCCTCATGAGCTGAAAGGTAGAGTGCACAGATTGCAAGAGATCCTGCTTGACTTTGAGTTGTTCCTTCTTCTTCTGTTGCTCCATGTTCATTTGGATAACATGATATTCAAACATCAGATCTAAATCGAATGGCAGTAATGAAAGAGGCTGCAGTAAAAGAAGGAGTTCCTCAAACAATGATTGACAAACACTGTGCGACAGTGCTAGGAAACCAGTCGGTAAATAGTGAACTCCAATAATATCTAAACAAAAGAGAAGAATCAATTAGTGTTATAATTTAATTTTGAGATATAAGAAATATGATTTCAAATGCAAGGTTCTATAAGATGGTTATGTTTTAAACTGTCTTTTTCAGTTAAAGCAAAATGGAATAACGAATAGTCATGTGATTTGCTACAACTTCTGCCCAGGACACATCTATGTGGCCTGATTACCAAGGGATTTTGGACCCAGATGAGGTGCTATTCAAATCCACATGCCACGCTTAACATCCAAAAAACAAAGGAAAAGCATACATTCTTGTAATTTCAGTCTTTATGTCTTAGAGACTTTGAACTGAAATACAGAAAGAGATTACAGCAGCTGCAATCAACAAGGAAAAGGCAGTTTGCCGCTAACGAGTAAGTAAACTGCTGATTACAGATGTTCATCTAACTGACGATAGAGAAACAACAGGAAATTAGTAAATCTGAAAGATATATCCTAGCATAATCTATGTTCATCAGAACTAGCTATGATGCTGGAGTTCGGTTAAGGATTGCTCAGAAACCTGGAACTAGGCTCTTTTGACTGGATTTAATGATGTGGTGAAGAGGCAAAAAGTAAGCTCTTTGGAAGTAAGACTGGCTCCAGTGAGGTTTGTAATTCTGTGGAGACTGATATATGTATCAGTCATGTTAAAATGCTAATAAGGGGTAGCTTTTCTGTAGCTTAGAATATTAATTACTAACTACTTAACGTCTAGTCCATTATTACCTTTTTTTGCATTCCTTTAAAGGATGTGGGCATCGCTGACTGGGCCAGAATTTATTGCCCATCCCTTTTCCTCCTTGAATTGAATGGATTGTAAGGCCATTTCAGAGGGCAGCTGAGTTAACCACATTGCTTTGAGCCTGGAGTCATGACATTAATGAACCAGATGGGTTTTTACAACAACCAACAATGCTTACATGGTCATTAGGTTAGCTTTTAATTCCAGATTTTTAATTTTTTAAAATTGATTTTAAATGTCATTACCTGCCATGATGGGATTCAAACCTATGACCCATTATCATCCGGTGACATTATCAAGTGCCACACCCTCCACTTTGTTAGAGAAAAAGAAAACTTGAAAGCTTGTCATGCAACTCCTTTAAATCAACCAATGGGAATTCAAATATCTTTTTAAAAGTTGTCAGAATCTATGTGACCATTACAGTTCACAGAACAGAAACATGCTGCTTGAAAAGTATGCTTGAGGTGTTTTGCAAGCCAAAATTCAGCAACAGCACCCATTTTCTGCAGGTCTGAATAATAAGCTAGTGTATGCAAAACTAGATTTATTCATTACAGACTACTAACAAGAACTACTAGTTTGACATCGCAGAGTTTTCCTCCCCAGTGAACAAGTTAGTTAATAAATCTTACAATTTATGGCCTAAGAAAATGGCATCATATCCACAATATCAATAACTTGCATTTAAATGGGGAGTCCTGAATTTTGGGTTCATTGCAATATAGAGAACACTACATTGGGAGCCCACCCAGCTAAGCACTCCAAAATAGAGGAAGTTGTTGGTTTATACCACAGCAGTCTAGAAAAACAATGGGTTGGCATCAGAATTTATGATTGGGGTTTAGTGAGAGAACAGTACTCTCAAGTTGGGGGTATTGAGTGTAAAGGGCACAGGCCCTGAGAGGAACATAATAACATAAAAGTAAAATAAAGGTAACATTGTCATAGTCCTCCCATACTATAGGAGTGCTCTCTCATTAGAGAGACGACTTGTGATGTTTTAACCTGAGGGTCACCACGCCTCAGGTGAGGGGAGACATTGAGAAGGAGAGTCCTTCATGATAACCTCAGCCTATGCCGAAATAGAACCCACGCTGCATTATAAACCAGCCATCAAGGCAACTGAGCTAATCAACCTCCAATGAAATACTTCAGATGCTGAAGATCTGAAATAAAACAAAAGTTCTGGAAAGAACTAAGTGGATCTGGCAGCATCTGTAGAGAGATAAATGGAGATAACATTTAGAGTTTGGGGTTTGGGGTTTGGGGTTTGAAGCTGAAGGTTATCTCGGGTAGAGATCCGAGGGAGTGAACTTGCAGGCCAGAGATCATGCAGTTGGGACCAGATGTGACAGAAATTACGTTAAATATCTTAAACACAATTGTGTATTGGTAGTCTTGTTATTCCTGGAGGTAATAAGCACTGGACCCCTTAGAGAGAACTAAATTTGCATCATGGACCAGAGATAGGCACTTACAACACAGAATAGTACAGTACAAGACTAGGTCCTCTGGTCCACCATGTCTGTGCCAACTAGATACCATTTTAAACTAATGCCATCTGCCTGCACATGGTCTGTATCCTTCTATCCCTGCGTGTTCAATGTCTGTCTAAGTGCCTCTTAAACTTTGTTGACATACTTGCTCCTACGCTGGGAGCACATTCCAAGCACTTAATCATTGTCTGTGTCAAAAAAAAACTTTCCTCGCACATCTCCTTTAAAGTTTTCCCCTCTCACCGTAAACCTGTGCCTTGAAATTTTCACCCTAAGAAACAGAGTCTGACTACACACTCTATCCATGCCTTTGATAATTTTATAATTTTCTATCAGGTTGTCCCTCAGTCTCCAATGCTCTAACAAAAACAATCCAAGTTAATATACTCCAATCCAGGTGACATCCTCATGAACCTCTTTTGCACACTCTCCAAAGCCTCCACATCCTTCCTATATTGTGGGGACCAGAACTGCACACAATACTCAATATGTGGCCTAACTAAAGTCTTTTACTGCTGCAACATGACTTACCAACTTTTATACTCAATGCCCCAACTGATGCTGTACACTTTCTTTACCACCTTATCCACTTGTGTTGCTACTTTCATGGAGTTATAGACTTGGACCCCAAGATACCTCTCTACGTCAATGCTCCGAAGGATCCTGCCATTTATTGTATACCTTCCTCCTCCATTTAACTTCCAAAATGCATCACCTCACACTTGTCTGGATTAAACTTCATCTGCGATTTTTCTACCCAAACTTCCAACTGATCTATATCCTGCTGCATCTGTTGAAACCTTGCACACTATCCACAACTCCACTAACTTTCATGCAACTACAATCTTACTAAACAGACCTTCATCATATTCACCCAAATCATTTATATATATAAAATGCAAACAAAAGAAGTCCCAGCACTAATACTTGTACTACATTATGGGTCACAGATCTCCAGTCAGAAAACACCCCTCCACAACTACCCTCCGTCTTCTATGAATAAGCCTCTTTTGTATCCGACTTACCAACTCACCATAGATCCCATTTGACTTCATTTTCCAGACCAGCCTACCATGCTTTAAGTAGACAACATCCAATGCCCTACCCTCATCAATTATCCTTGTCACTTCCTCAAAAGACTCAATCAAGTTTGTGAGGCAAGATGCCCCGTGTATAAAGCCGTACTGACTATATTCATTAAACCTATTCTTCTCCAAATGTGAGTAAATTCTGTTCCTAAGAATCTTCTTCAATAATTTCCCTACTCTGATGTAAGGCTCACTGGCCTAAGGAACATAACCTTTTTCATAAATGGACTAATGCCTGCTTCAGGCCCAGTCATAAAACTCCACTGTTATTTTCACTTTCTACTAAAATAGTGTCTGGCACTATTTGTAGCAAGTTTGTGTACTCACACGTACCACATGACAATTTGGTTCCTAAACAAAATAAAATAAGCTTGAAAATACAGATACTGGGAAACAAATAATGTGCATGTTCCTTTCTTGAATGGGATGTAACATTTACCATCCTCCACTACTTGAGCACAATCCTGTTTTCAAAGATTTATTGCAGTTTGTTTCTCCACTAAATCTTTCCAAACTCTTTTATCACCCTATAAAATACTCTTTGGTTTTGACTATCTGTAGAAGAGTCTCTATATTCTCTTCCAGGCACCTTTTCAGTCCAAAGTAGACCTTTATCGGGGAAAAAAAAATCCAAAATAAGCATCCCTCTCTGCCACTGTATAACTGTATGTGTGAAATGGCAGGAATTGGGTGAGATACTAAATGAGTATTTTGCATCAGTTTTTACAATGGAGAAGGATATGGAAACTGGAGAACTTGGAGAAATAAATAGTGATATCTTGATAAGTGTCTACATTACAAAGGAGGTGGTGCTGGACATCTTAAAACCCATAAAGGTGGATTAATCCCTAGGACCTGATCAGGTGTAACCCAGAACTCTGATGGAAGCTACGGAAGCGATTGCTGGGCCCCTTGCTGAGACATTTATATCATCGATAGCCACAGGTGAGATGCCAGAAAACTGGAGGATGGCTAATGTGGTGCCAATTTTTAAGGAAGATGGTAAGGGAAAGCCAAAGAACTACAAACCAGTGAGACTAATGTCAGTAGTGGGTAAGTTGTTAGAAGGGGTTCTGAAGGACAGAATTTACATGTATTTGGAAAGGCAAGGACTGATTAAGGGTATTCAACGCGGCTTTGTGCATGGGAGATGGTGTCTCACTGACCTGGTTGAGTTTTTTGAAGAAGCGACAAAGAAGATTGATGAAGGCAGAACTGTGGGCATTGTCTGCATGGACTTCAGTAAGGCATTCGACAAGGTTCTGCATGGTAGATTGGTTAGCAAGGTTAGATCATGTGGAATCCAGGAAGAGCTAACCATTTGGACTCAAAATGGCTTGAAGGTAGGAGACAGAGGGTGGTGATGGAGGGTTGCTTTTCATACAGGAGGCCTCTGACCAGTGGTGTGCCACCAGGATCGGTGCTGGGTCCACTGCTTTTCACCATTCATACAAATGATTTGGAAGTGAATATTGGAGGCATGGTTAGTAAGTTTGCAGATGGTACCACAATTGGTGGTGTAGTGCACAGTGAAGAAAGTTATCTCAGAGTGCAAGAGGACCTTGATCAGATGGGCCGATGGAGCTTTAGATAAATGTGAGGTGCTGTACTTGCTAAGGCAAATCAGGACAGAACTTATACACTGAATGGTAGGAACCTGGGGAGTGTTGCCAAACAAAGTGACCTTGGAGTGCAGATTCATAGATCCTTGACAGCGGAGTCGCAGGGAGACAGGATAGTGAAGAAGCTTGCCTTTATTCGTCAGTGCATTATGTATAGGAGTTGGGATGTCATGTTGCGGCTGTACAGGACATCGATTAGGCCACTTTTGGAGTACTGCATTCAATTCTGGTCTCCCTCCTATAGGAAAGATGTTGTGAAACTTGAAAAGGATCAGAAAATATTTACAAGGATGTTTCCACAGTTGGATGGTTTGAGCTATCGGAGAGACTAAATAGCTGGGGCTAGTTTTCCTGGAGCATCAGAGGCTAAGGGGTGACTTTGTAGAGATTTATAAAATCATGAGGAGCATGGGTAGGGTGAATAGCCAAGGTCTTTTTCCCACGGTAGAGGAGTCCAAAACCAGAGGGCATGTGTTTAAGGAGAGAGGGGAAAGAGTTAAAAGGGACCTAAGAGGCAACATTTTCATGCAGAGGGTGGAGTGTGTATAGAATGAGCAGTCAGAGAAAATGGTGGAGGCTGGTACAATGACGACATTTAAAATGTATCTGGATGGGTACATGAATAGGAAGGGTTTAGAGGGATATGGGCCAAATGCTGGCAAATGGGACTAGATTAATTTAAGATGTCTGGTCGGCATGAACAAGTTGGGGCTGAAGGGTTTGTTTCCGTGCTATACATCTTTATGACTCTATAACTTATGAGAGGTTGTGGTTACTTGACTATTCCTTTCTTGTTAGGAGCTTGTAAAGTTACTTGTTTCAATCTCTAGTTTTCTCTCATTCTTGTTCATTGCCCTTACATATAGCAGCTCTTTGAAAATTATTCTTCAACATTAGAAAACAAGAACACAAATTATTTGTATAAAGTAAACAGTACAAAAGTGTGACACCTGACTGCAAGTTTTCCAAAACTGGTAATCACCTAATATGAGCATGATGGTGAGGAATGGAAAGCCTCTTATAATGTTAATGGGTATGAGACCAGGAGGTGCTACTCTAAATCAGTATCACACCATTTCCTTCTATTATACACCGGAATGATACAAGTATAGTTGCCGATACAATAACTATTAGTGGAATCTATTTTTATTGAATGGCAGAGCAGGCTCAAATGATGGTCTACTTCCGCTCCGAGCTACTATCTTTGTGTGATCCACAATGCTACTTGCCAGCATCAACTGACTTCAGAGATGAACTCCTTTATGAAGATAGAAATTACAATGAGGATTAGAAAGGGATGAAACTATTTTCCAGATAGACCAACAAGTTTTCCTCCACACCGAATGAAGCAACCAGTCCTGTTCCCAAATTCCAAACATAAGGTGTGTGGGATGGTCCCTCCCTTACGTTAATGACTCCTAACATTGTATGTTAAATGAGGTCAGAGCAGCAGAGTTGAACAGCAGATTGAAGTCCTATCCTGACATGGTAGTTCACAAAGAATTTCTTTCTAATCCAGGGTCTTGAATATTGTAGAGGTAAAATAATTACTGTAGTAGAAAGTGGTTAGCAACAATAATTGTAACTTGATCTTACCTTCATGATTATACAAATGATTAAACCAAAACTCCAAAGATCTGATACTGCATCAAAGAACATAAAGTTATGTAAGTATAGTAAACAGGAATCTTTTAGCAATTACTTCATAAATATTTAGTCTAGGAACATAATTTATTTACACCATGACTAATAAGGAATTTTCATTGTATTTTGTCACTGATTCTACGATTCAGCATATAACTGTAACAGATCAAACATCTCTCAAAAAACAAAATCAACCACTAGAATCCAATTTTAAAAAATTAAAGGCAAAAGAGAAGAATTCATAACATCAGCTACCGGAGAGAAAATACAATGAAAAGACAATGTAAATTTGACAACATGAAACTATGGAGCTCATGTGCAAATGTAGACAAATTCAATCGAAAAACAACTAAAATTATTTCAAGATTTGCGATGCTACATTATATGGAACGACTCACAACATGAATTAATTGCATTTGAGAAATAAGAGTTCAGTAGGAACAAGTTAAATCTTATAAATGAAAAAAACATATAGATAATATCGCAAGAACAAATTAGATGTTTTAATTCTGATCAAAAATTGAGTCTTTACAAAAATCAAAGTGGGAAAGAAAACTTTCTCCAGTTTACCATATAGTGGAGCAATGCTTTGGAGGAATTTAGTAGAAAGAGGAACATAAATTTGACATAAAAACAGAAAATACCAAAATTACTCCACATCTGTAGAGAGAAGTGTGTGAAAGATCATGATCCAAAATGTTAATTCAGGTTTTTTCTTCACAGATGCTGCAAGACCTGCAGATAATTTCTATTATTATTATTGCAGATTTCCAGCATCTGCAGTATTTTCCTTTTCAATTAGTATAAATTTGATACATCGATACTTTTGAAACATTGGAGAAGGCAGCCAGTGCAAGGGAGGTTGACAACTGAGCAAGTTTATTCCGGGACAGGTTATAGAAAACAAAGAAGTGTTTGATTAATTAGATTTTACAAAGGATTACAAACAGGATGCCAGAAAGGAAGCCAATGGTGACAATAGTGTCTGAACTGTAACAGGAGTGAGCAAGAGTTAAGCTTTCAAAATTTTAATTGAATTGATTGATAATGAGTGAAACATGGGACAGAATTTTATAGCTCCCCTAGTAATGGGGAAATGTAAAACTTCCTTCATGGCAGTCTTGCCACACTCCCTCTAAACTTAAAATGAGGCAGGAGATGCCTCGAAGAAGCTGATCTGCCCTCACCTCAATTGAGGGTCCCACTCAGCGTCAATTTTAATGCTGGCAAAAGGAGATCAGGAGCGGGAAGGGCAGTGGTCACTCTCTTTGGGTCTTTGACATGAAGACAGGCTGGAAAACACCACCTTCACGAGGCCCATTTCCACATCAGACACTGCCGCAAGGTCTGCCCCTGTGGGTGCTCCATCTCCCTCAGCCTCTCCATCTGAAGTAGAGGTAAGTGAGGCTTTTAGTTTTAGTTCTGAAGGGTGACTGCTTTAATAAAATACAGGCCAGAAGGTCATTTTTAACAGTGAGTTCAATACAGCACTTCTAAGCAAGTAAGTGACTTAAGCTAAATGACTAGTAGTTGGCTGATGAGATAATTGCTAATGTGTTTACAAAATTGAGCTGCTACAACCTACAGTCAGAGGGGTCAGGTGTTACAAGCAAGTTCAGTTCAGAAGAAGACAAGATCCATACCAGCAGAAGGGCTGTATTAGTCTAGCAGTTTCCAGGCCATGAGAGGCGGAAAGAAGTCTTGGGCTCTTTTAGCAGTCTGAGCTTTTCTTAAAGTTCAGAAACATTAATTTGAGAGTTAGCCTGTACTTGTGTGTCTCTGGGAGAAATTGAGAGAATCACATCTGGTAAACGTGTACAGAGTTCCTGAAAGGGAACACTTACAATCATGTTAGTTCAATAAGAAATTTTAAAATAAAGATAGGAGTGATTCTTAACTGGAGTTGAGGGTCCAAAGGATATTGTTGGGAGAAAGGGTTGAACCTTGATTTAGAGATAGTAGGAACTGCAGATGCTGGAGAATCCGAGACAACAAGGTGCAGGGCTGGATGAACACAGCAGGCCAAGCAGCATCATAGGGGCAGAGAGGCTGACGTTTCGGGCCTAGACCCTTCATCAGAAAAGGGGGAGGGGAAGGGGGTTCTGAAATAAATAGGGAGAGAGTGGGAGGCGGATAGAAGATGGATAGGTGGAGAGGAAACAAACAGGTCGAAGAGGCGGGGATGGAGCCAGTAAAGGTGAGTGTAGGTGGGGAGTTAGGCAGGGGATAGGTCA